GTTAACAATAACTCTCAACTCCCAATAACAGATGATACTCAGACTCAGCAATGAACGAAATAATGTCTGTTCTGTAGGCTATTGGAAATAATAAATTAACAAATGAGCTAATTAACATAAAATACCTCTTGTGTAGCAAAATTATTCAAAATGTACCAAAAACGAACAAACATATCAATAGACTATTTATACTGTCGGAGTCCAGGTGGCTTTTCAGATCCCTTGCACCTCCATTGGACACCGAGACATATCTGCACAAGGCCTCCCATTTGTCTTGACCCGGTCTGAAAGCGGGGAAACTCTTTAGTAAATCATCAGTAAACATACATTTGTGCTTTTGCATGTTGTTGGCGAACTGACAGCCACGCTATCTATATTCTGATTAAGAACAGGGCTGCCCGCACTGACGCGGCTCAGGGATTACGTCACATGCAGTGTCGTGCGCGGTGCCCTAGTGCCTGTAAATTTAATGGTCCAATTAAGGTAATTTAAAAAATCAGGACATTTCCTCACTTTCTAAAAAAAACACTTGAACCACTGACTAAGTCTCAGCCCTGATACAATTAGACTCTATATTTACAAGATCAACAATAATGATGATTGTAACATTAAAACAACAACTCTGGTATCAGAATAGTGTCATTATCAGCAGATACTGTATCTTAATTCAGGTATTGGGATCAGATTGGAAGTGAAAACATGTAGATTACTGTGACCCTATGGGTCTTTATTTTTTATTAAATGTTGACCACTAAGACAGTCTTAGTGAGAAAACAAGCACAGCAGTAGAGGTTTACAGCAGGATATCTTAGATAAACACAATAGTCTTCATCGCTGAGTAAAAACTAACCTGCAGGAGCGACCGCCACCTCAACAAAGAAGAAGAAAATCCACAGACCAAGCAGAGTGTCCGTTCCTCCTCATCCAGTTCAACTGGTTTGACTTACATATAGTTTCATCTAAGATCAACAGGTTTTAATAAAGAAATAAACTCTGTTAGATCATTAAAACACAAAGTTACGAAATCTGAGAGAAACCGAGGTTTCGGCTGAGCGTCGACTGGTATCTGTGGGAAATGGTGGAGCTCTCAGGAAGCAAACCTTTTCATGCCCACAAACAGGAAATCGTGGGCATGAACATTTGTGCACCCACAGCTTAAAGACATCAGGTATGTACTGTATATATTAACTTTAGAGGAAATTAAATAAAGATAGTTATGAAAGTTTATACAGGTATTAATATGTTTCAGATCTACACATATTTAGATAAATTGGCTAGAGTATAAGCTCCTGGTGCAACTCGAGCAGATATTTTATCTTTCACTTTTCCTCTTTATCCAGCATTTTGCAGAGATTTAAAGATTTATCTACATTGTATTTGTATTAATCTATTCTATAGGGAGCGATATATACGTTTAACACATCATTTACTGTACTATAGCTTTAGGTGACTAATAATTTGCTATGCCTGTAACCTGAAGGGCCTTTACAAAGTAGTAGTATATTTATTTCTATCTCAGTTTCAGACCCTCACTCCCTAAACTGTTGCTCTATACAGATACCTGGTGGATCTGAAACATCAATGCATGATTAGATGAAAAGTTTATACAGTAATTTAACTAAATCTATGGTATGTTGTATTATTTCAGGTTTGAATCTAAACAATTCATCTTTAAAATATATTTGATATCTAATAAATATGCAGTCGGTAATGTAAATCTGTCATAATAGGAAAAGTAAAGTGAAGATGCTGTGTTTCTGATGCTGCTTATTGGCTTGACATTGATGCAAGATTTTAAAGAAAACTTTTTTTTTTTAAGTTTCCAAATTACAGTGAGCTTCTCTAATGAAACCAGCAGCATCACCCAGATACAGGATCTTATCTCTACCTTTCAAGCAACAAGGATGGTTTCTGAGTCTTCAGTCTTCAGTCTCCTACTGGTGTTGACGTCTCACTCTGTTTATTAAGGAGGTGCTTTGATTTATATGACAGTTCAGTCACACCAATGCAACATTTAAATTGTGATAAATAAATAGAA